AATAGTTGGTAAGTCTGAAATCCACTCTTTATTTACAAGAAATTTGATACGCCCAAAATTCAAGTGCCCGAGCCTTATATGCTATAGCCAATTATCATTGACAATCACAAAATTATAGTTAGAGGCATTACCATAATTAATTTGCGTTCGAAATAAATGGTTGGATGACATTTTTATCTTCAGGATCATTCATTTTTTTCTGTCACTTACAGTGCACCCGTGTTTGTTGAAACACAAATCATAACCCTTTTCTGCTGATTGTCCCACGCTTAACAGATTTTGACAAATAGTAAGAGCATAGTAAACTTCGAAAATATAATCTGCATATCCATTGTTTAATTTAATTGCAATTCTTTCTTTTTCTAAAATTAAGACTTCATGGTTGTCACTTAATTCACTGAAGAATGAAACGATTCATCAAATTTAGAGAATACTTCCTTATTTCAACTCAGGTGATTGCTACAACCTGAGTCTAACAACCACTGATTATTGTTACTTCTATTACTATCGTGAGCTGCCATCAATAAAGTCTCTACACTACTATTTTGGGCTACCTCGACCTGATTTTTTTTTTATGTTCTGATCTCCTTGCACAACACTCTCTACTATAATGACCATATGTTTTACAATTATGACACTGAATATGTGATTGACATTGGACGCGAGACTTACCTTGAGAAGATTCATTTTCTCTTGCTCATTATCTTGATGTCGTTCTAAAATTTCATCTTCCTTTGCCTTTGAAATTTTAGCCTCTTTGACTATATTATGATCTAGGTGTCTCATCCTTTAATTTAATTTAGCCTTTAAAGCTTGTTCTATTGTGCTTGGAGATCTTTCATTCATCCATATCTCCCGTGACTCTAATGAAGCTTGTAAATCATTAAGGGTCATGGTGTCCAAGTTTTTGAACTTTTTAATAGCTGTCACCACGTAGTCGAATCGACTTGACAATATATGTAAGAGCTTCTCCATAACATCTCTCTCATTTATTTGATCTCCATTAGTTTTCATTTCATTTATTAACTTCTCCATTTGTAAAAAATAATCATGAATACGTTCATCTTTACATTGCTTCATTAGCTCGAATTGTTTTCTCAATCCTTACAGTTGTGTTCGTTTGACTGGATTTACACCTTCATATGTTTTGAGTAAAATATTCTAAGCCTCTTTTGTTGTTTTAGTACGAAATATATTTTTCAGTACCGACAGTTCCATAGACTGACAAATTAAAATTAAAGTATTCTCATTTAATGAATGATCACGAACCAAGTTTTATAAACATGTTGTTGACAACTTTTCCTTTTCAGCAAAACCATTATCTAAAATTTTGTCATAACCATTGCTTCTCAAACACAGGTCCATTAAGTGTTTCTATATCGTAAAATTATTTTTGTCATAAAACTTAAAAATTGATGACTGCACTTGTTAAATTTGGACTTCTGTTATTGAACTAGAAGCTATATTAATCAAACCTTACTGTTCTAATACTAGATGTTGATAATTTAATTTTATTATAATTACCTAGAGAATAAATTTATAAATTAAAAGATAATCAATACTTTATTAATAGTGTAGCGCCCGGGAAATTGAAGAAAAAAAAATAAAAAAAAGGGGCGCGCGCCACGTCAGCAGCCACGTCAGCAGACCCAGTCAGCAGTCCTGGCCAACCAGGACCTGCCACGTGGCAAAACCACGTCGACCGGGGACGGGCCACATTGGCGATCCGCGTGCGCGAGATCGGACGGCCCAGATCAATCGCGCGCACGGACGGCCCAGATCAATCGCGCGCACGGACGGCCCAGATTTAATCGCACGGACGACCCAGATTTAATAAAAAACGGACGGCCCAGATTAAATCAAAATGGACAGCTGAGATCAAAAGGCAAAAGGGTATAAATAAGACCCCACACCAGACCCCAAACCCTAGCCGCCTGCCCTCGCTGGAGAAGACGAACCAGAAGCCGGCCACCGCCACCCGGCGCCGCACCGGAGGGATTTCCGACCGCCGATCGAGGTAAAATTCATACCCTCGACTCGTTTTTCCACGCTGATTTCCCCAGTGGCCAAATCGGAGCCCAAATTCCGGCCAAACGGCCGAAGCCAGCGGCGCCGCCGCGCCCCTCCTCAGTTTTGCCTCCGATGAGGCCCTTCCCGGCCTCCGTTTAATGCAATTTTTATATCACCGTGATCACCATTCTTTTCTCTATAGGTTGATCGGAGCCGAATCACCAAAACACGAATTTCACCGGAGAGCCGCCGCACCCGAGAGTACCGCCGCCGGTAAGCTTCGTTTTTCCGTAAATTTTCGGCCCCCCGAGGGCCGTAGGGTTGTTTTATCGCAGGAACCAATGCGAGTGTGGCCGAATTCGGCCGGAAATGGACAACCCGAGGCGAACCGCCGCCGCAAGCGGCGGCGCCGTTGCCAGAGCACGGCGGAGCCGCCGTGCCGGAGTTGCGATATTGGCCGAAAGGGGCCCTGGGCCTAATTTGGGATTTTTTGGAACACGTGCAGGTACCAGTAGTGCGTTTCAGTTCCCCGGGAAAAATTCAAGAAAAATTAGGGACAGCCTGCAAGCGCACTGTGAAGCCGTGTTCGGACCCCGAAATGAGTAAGGACCCCTCACCCTATTTCCTATCACGGTATTAAAGTTCAATAAATGATAAACCGATATTTCATGAATCAACGAATGTGTGAAATTGCTTAAGGTCGCTAATGGAGCCCGAGTCTAGTGTGTTTTCGGTTAACTATTATTTGGCTTGTTTTACAGTTTTAAATGCAGCATGAGGTTTGATGTTTTCATTTTATAGTTTCGTGTGCATATTTTACTATTTTACTGACTATGGATTGAATGATTGGGATATTGATACTGTATGTTGTCTATTTGCCATAAATTATCGTCTTGCTTGTTTGTATGTGTATTGATAATGCTGACTGAGGGAAAAAGAGAATGAAAGATTATGTAAATGGGTAATTGTATAATGTGGTCAGCCTAACTAGATATCCTAGGAGATGGTGGACGGACCGGGTCCGTAGGGAACCCTACCGGGATTGTGGTCTCCCATACCGGATGGGGTATGGGGACGACCCGTTTCACCCTCATACCGGACAGGGTAATGAGGTTTATGGTTTTGGCGCTCATACCGGACGAGGTATGGGGACGGCCCTGGAATATGATTTCAAGTGTTAAGGGTTAACGGGTAGCGGGACCCCTATGGATCCCCATGGATACTAGTGGGCTGGTAAATGAGGAAAATATATTGTGTAACGATTGAATTTCGAAAGGCTTGATAAGTATTACGTTATACAGTTTATACATGATTTCATGATGATAATGATGTTATAGTTTTCGTATATTGTCTTATGAATTTCACCGGGTAAGTGAATGGTAAAGGTTTTATTATTGATAAAAGGTTTTGTTGTAAATTATGCTCCATTGGTCTTTTTGTGTTTTCTACCCACATTTACCTCCGTGACGGTGAGATATCGTGATGTTCTTACTGGGTTAGTGTAGCTCATTCCTTATTTAATCATTTCATATCAGGAAGACATTGTTCCCGAGCCGGTTCCGCAGGAGGACGACGAAGGGGACGCCTAAAGACTCCATAGTCATATTTGTAGCTTTTACTTTCAAGTTTCTCCTTTAGGTAGTTTAATCTTTTATATTGTGAGCACGTTTTTGGTTTTAGTGTAAAGGATGTTCATCGAATTTTTGACTTCGCTTCCGCATTTGATATTTTTAATATACATTCCATTATGAATTTTCGGGGCTGTTACAAATAGAAAGAACATAAGTTTTACAATATTTACAAGACAAAATTTCACATCCTAAACCCGTTATGCATTAGCTTGTTGAAGCTAATAATTATCACTTAATTTTTTTCACCTCATGTCCTAAATATTTTTTTTTCTCACACTTATCTGTATTTTCACTTTTTCTAAACCTATTTATATAAGTAAAAAGGTGTCATTTTGACTTCACATTCTTTATTGTTGTCGTTCATTTTTTCTCTTTATTGTTGTCACTTTACCTTTACCTTTTTTTATTGTTGCTGCTTCACCTTCGGCTCTTCATTATAAATTAATTAAAGTTTTAATTTCAAATATTAATTAAATCAAGTTTAATTATCCAACAATTATTTTCTTAACTAGCATCCATTAATTTTATTATCCCATTTATCAGGAAAAAATAGTGATATAACAAAGTTACGAGTTAAATAATGATAAATTACTTATAAGGTGTAGAAAAAATTAAATTATATAAATGTTTCATAAATAAGAAAAATTATGAGTTAAAAAGTAAATAATCAAGTTCCCAAGTTAAAAGGTAAAAGTAAAAGCAAAAGAACTGCCTTTTTTATATAACAGAGTAAAAAATTGTCAATTGAGTTTTACAATAAGAAGCCATTCCTTGACAAGATGGCGAGAGGAGGAACAAAATAGTGCATTGTCCATTTAGATTACCCTAACAACTCAGGAAGTCAAGAGCTAGCTCTCAGTAAGTTTTGATTCCACATACTCTCACTATGCTCTCTTAGAAGCATCACATTCACATTGATTTGCTAACATTAATTTTGTATAGTGACAAAGTAATTATGCAATGTCAAGTGATTAGTACACAAAATTACTAAGATTGCTAAAATTTTAGAAAATTACTCTAGGAAACTAGAATTCTCCTTGATTTTCACTGAATCTGTAACCTGACACCAGATCGATCCATTCGGAAGGCGACACCAACTTGATCCAGAATCATGTCATGACAGTACCAAGGATCGCCATTTCTTCAAGCATCAAATAGCCAATTACTCGTGTCCTATATGGACACAGTGGAGATAATACCGGTCATGTTGAGGTAGTTAAGCTTTTGAAAAACAAAGTCGACCCCAGTCAGCAGCTGCACCCGGAAAATAGGACAGTGAAGTGTAGCGCACCCTTGCACTTGTAGTTCTAAGCTTATTGTATATGCTATTTCATGGTGAATCCTCCACTGCTACAATCTTTTTCTCTTAAGATATATAATAGCAGTTTATATTATATAAACAATTGGTTTCTTGGCTTTTCTTGCTCCTCTTTCTGCTTGGTATGTTCCTTCAAAAAGCGATAGTGTATCATATTCTTAAAATCCGAGTTAACTTGGAAACCTGCAAAAGCAGACAAGCTTCATTTAGAAACTAAAGAAATGCTCAGGCATCTCTTGCTTAACCAAACACAAAAAAAGGAGAAACAAGAAGCCAAGTAACTGTCATTTATCATCTTATCGACTTGTAAATAATATGTATATGGGTTGTACCCCCTTGGTACCAACGCGAACAACACATTTCTATACATTTATTTCAAAAAAAAAAGAAGAAAGTACCTCTGGACCTGAATGCTTATAGACCTAGCCAACTAGGTATTTAAGTTTAAACAAGTTTATGTACAAAGAGGAATTCTTATGAGAGACTCGACAAGTAAAACCAATATACATGGGAGTGACCAAGTCGGATCTGGGTTACTAGGATTCATATAGAAGAAGATACCAGGGGTTAGACCTCTCATACGAGCAATTCAAAGGAAGCGTATTGTAAAATTGATGCCCAGTTCAACAATAGAAAAATTACCAACCTGGGCAGTCCTGGAAGGTAGAAATACTTCTAAGCAGTATGGTAGACCATCAACTCTGTAAAGAGAGCCAGATTCAGATAGAAGGAACAAAATCACCCAAAATACAAGGCAAAGAACTGAAGTACAGAACTTCAATTGGTATAAGTTTTCAGAAACTGTTACAAAGAAGATGATTACAATAATATTATTAATAATTACCTTCTGTTAATTGTTCTTTGAATATAATGGTTCTCCTTTAGAAGACCCTGACCTCCATATTTCAGTTCATCAGAGTTCAATATCACCTGTAAATCGAGAAGCAAAACTCGTTAACCTGCAGGATATCTAACATCTAAACAAAAGAGGCCAGTAAAAAGCATTTTTCTCTTGTATCATGAAATGGTTTGTGTTTGTCCCAACAAAGAGATGTTCTATATCCTCAAACAGAGACATGTAAAAACATGTATAATAGTTCATAAATATCCCAAAAGATGCAAATTCGCACGATCAGATAATAGAGAAATAGGGATTCTGCACCTTATCAACTAAAGGATACAGAAACACTTACTTGATACTCTCCAGCTTCTTCTACTCCCACATTGTATCCTTCATAAGAATCTGTTGGATGAAAGTTGAATACAAAGAGAAAAGGACCTCGTACGTAGGATATTACCTGTATGTGAGAAACAATCTCTTTATTACAAAAAAATCTATATACTTTAAAACGTTTTTTTGGCTGGATGGTAGGTATCATCTCTTTCTAGGAGGAACAGACCGTGTGTATCTCTGTCTTCTTTAGGAGGTTATTAAGAAGTTGTATTATTATTAGTGTGCAGTTACCGCTTGGAGTGTTCATCGATCAGGTACGAGACCAAAGTGAACCAAACTTAAATATTTTCTTTTCCAAAACTGCGTTTTAATTTTTTTTTAATTATTTCTAATTTTGGTTCTATATTGCTTGGACGGAGTACTAAACCAAATATTGTTTTGTGGTCCGGGACTGTTTGGGCCAGTTTTCCAGTCCTAAAAGGTCCAATTTTTTGGTTCAGATCAGAACATAAACATCCCTAGCTGGCACTTGATTAATAAAATGTCTGAATTTCTATTCTAATTAAAAAAAATTATATGCATAAGAACGCTTAAAGTTTATAGAATACTGCAAAAACAGAATTTGTGATATTTTGATTTTTCTTCTTCAACTCCTGGAAATTTTGATTGTCTTTGTGCAAAAGCATATAAAGATAACGCACCAACACAAATCTAACGTAAAGGTAGTTAACAAGGTGCTAATTTGACAGATTCAAATAAGCAGGACGAAAGACAGAAAACATGCTTTAGATGAACATCTTTCGGAACAACAGAAATGAATGGAAGAGAATATAACAATACCATATTTGTGTCATTCACGTGGTGAATGTTGGGTAAACCTCTTGACAGTACCCTCTCTGATTCATCCAAGTTCATCAACTCCTAGGAGGAAAGAAACAGTAACTGAATTAGTTAGCAATGCTATCAACATATATCTCAATCAGAAAATGAATTGAATTCTTATTCAAGGAAAAGAAAAGACTAGTCAGTAACTTTTACCAAGAAACTCAAGTCACCTAACAATTTTTCGAGTATACCTCCACAAATTTAGCAGACAAGTCTTGAAAAATATGTTATATACCAAAGAGAGGACCTTTTCAACAACAAATACCTATTATATTTCACTAAAAGCAACATTTTGTCATTTTGTGATGCACGTCTATGCTAACAATGAAATTTCGAATGAAGTATATTGCATATAGTTCCTAGGTCAGATCCAGCTTAACCATTTCTTTATCTTTTTCAAGTGTATTTTTAAGCTTAAGAAGGATCCTGTCTTCTGCAAAACTTAAATCTCTCTTTTTCCCTCTTGACGAAAGTCATTTTGAGAACATTATTTTTCCAGTAATTACTAAGTCTATGGAAGTACATTGCTTTTGCAGTTGGGTTGGAGGGAAATGAGTGATGAAATCAAGTTAATATACATGATAAACATTGGATACAATCCTTCAGTTAAATTGAAGTTGAAATGAGATCATAACAATTATGCATGTGGTAACAAGGTTTTGTAATAAAAAATGACAGAATAGAGACCTTATCAAAGGAAAACAAATCTTGATGCACTCCGGCAGCCAGCAGGTCCCACTGACGGTTGGCAAGTGAGAAGGAGAAATTGTTGCTTCGCATTGGGAATTCGACCCTCTAGCATAATAAAAAATCATTAACTATAAGAAATACATTAATTGTATAGTTAATTGAATAAGTAGCCGCACCTTAGGATGCCCAAATTCATTGCCCATAAAGTTGAGGTAAGCGTGGCCACCAATTGTAAATGTAATCAATCTTATCATCTGGCTCAAGATAATATAAAACAAACTACGAGTTAATATATGAAATTAAAATCCTGATAAATAACTAGTAAAAGAATAAATAAATCGATTTGATTGCATATTCAGTTGCTATATCTTCTCTCCAGACCTATTAAAATTATAGCTGATGCCAACAGAGGATGAAGAGAAAAAAAGGAGAATAGTAGCATACTTTGTGCAATGAACACCCTCTAAGCAATGACTCCTTTGAGCCAGGAGAATCCTTCTTGATTTTGCCAAACAATATCTCTGCAAATGAGCACCCTCCAGATATTGACTGACAAACAAGATTGAAATGAAAGGATGTAGGATCAAAAAAACCCTGTTGAATACTGTTCTTTTTCCGAATAATATTCTGGAAAAGGTAATTCATCCAGAAAGCGGGATCAAAGAAGATTACTTGGTTGTGATTTTCAGCATAGATAAGCATCTTCTCTGGATATTGTCTGTCTGCAATTAATGTGGTAACAATCTGCAAATTGTAAAGAAATTGTTAAGAACATAAAAACAGAGTCACATTTTTCCACATAACCAAAGAAATAAAGAAATACAACCTTGCTCATCCTCCATTCATGATCAGGTACATTTTCAAGAAGAGAGAACCACATCTCTGATGCAGAAAGATTGACATAATAATCAAATCCAAGTCCACCTTGAGAAGTTGGGTCACATAGTCCAGGGTAAAATGTTGCCTAAACAATGAGATAAATGAGACCTTATTGGAATTCAATGGTATTCAAATAACTATACGTTAATATTCTCCTAGTTCCACCATTTTAGGCAATTAATAATAGTAGCCATGAAATTCCAAGAGTGGGTTAAAATATTAAGTTTTACTTTTGCTAAGGTTGGCCTTGACAACTAAATAATACCATATTTAGTAGTGCAGAATAACATTCCAAAAAA